AGAAACATCAAAGAAAGAGGTTCGTGAGGAATACAAGAAGAGAAATGAGCCAAAGATGAACACTTTTACCGGTGAAATGGATAATCTCAATGCATCTGTTGTGAAGAAGAGAGAAAGAACGCTTACGTTTAACCAACTCACGGCTCCTTATCACTACCCGTTTTGCTTAGACATTTACATCTCAAAGGCCTCGGTTCGAGCATGTGTGATCCACAGGGTGACTAGTAAAGTTGTTACTGTGGCTCATTCCATTTCGAAAGACATGAAATTCGATCTTGGTTCGACTAGAAACGCTGTAGCTTGCGCTGCGGTTGGGACAGTCCTTGCTCAAAGAACATTGGAGGATGACATACACGACGTTATATACACTCCTCGGAAAGGAGATAAAGTGGAAGGTAAACTTCAGATCGTGCTTCAAGCTCTTATCGATAATGGTGTTAATGTTAAAGTGAAGCTTAAGCAGAGGAAACTCAAGAAGAAAACTAGTAGTCATCTATACAATGGCCTTGAGGACAAAAGAATCTATAGATGATGCAACTCATCTTCTCTCTCTTATTAGTTATTACAAACTCTTTATATGTATTTGGTTGTCAGAAACTCCAATTTCTAGCTCAGTATAATCATCCTCCATGAATATTGGCACAAAGCAGCAGATTGTGTATGTTCTTTGGGAATAGATAAACCGGAGGTAACCGGAACATACCATCAAATGTCTATAACCGGTAGCTAATTTTGGAATTTATTATGATTCCAATCCATAAGGTTTGGGTCAAAGTGTTGACTTTTCTCTACGAGGTATCATTGATTCAATCATCGTCTTCCTCATTTTTATCACACACCACTTCTCTGTTTTTATTTTCTTATCTCTAATACTTCTATATTTGTATTGGTGACTGATCGATTCCGGTATAATAACAATATCAATATTTATCTGTTTTAAGATTTTTTCAGATAGTGATTTTGTAGGTTTACTCTGTTTTTTTTTTTTGTTCATTCATCTGTCAATTTTATGTATCGTGATGGGTTTTTACGTTTTCTATAGATGAAGAAATTTTTTTTTGCTTGAAATGGAAACTTTTGATACGTTTCTTTGTTTTTGGATATATGACAATTGAATTTCTTCTCTGTTGTGAAATAAAGCAGTGAGCTTTTGAAATATGGATTCAGAGACTCCTCGAATAGCCAAAGATGTCACTGAAGTAAGCTCCAAAGACTCTGCTTGTTTCAACTATGGACTTGTTCGTTTACTGTTTTTTTTGAAAATTTGTTTTTTTGTTTTGCTTTGGGTAGTTAATAGGGAACACTCCATTAGTGTATCTGAACAAGGTGGCTAAAGATTGTGTTGGCCATGTTGCTGCTAAGCTTGAGATGATGGAGCCATGCTCGAGCGTCAAAGACAGGTCTTTCCTCCAAGTCCAAACTTCTCTCTTTGTTTCTGCTTTCCAGTTTCTGAGTCTGAGAAAGCAAAAACTTGTACTTTACTCATTTTGTTGCAGGATTGGTTATAGCATGATTGCTGATGCAGAAGATAAGGGTCTTATTAAACCAGGAGAGGTCTGTTTTTATCAGATACCTTCAAAACCAGGCTTTATTGATTCTTGAAGAACTTTGATTTTGTCTTTTTTTTCTTAGAGTGTGCTGATTGAGCCAACAAGTGGAAATACCGGAGTTGGCTTAGCATTCACAGCAGCTGCAAAAGGATACAAGCTTGTTATTACAATGCCAGCTTCGATGAGCATAGAGCGAAGAATCATTCTCTTAGCTTTTGGAGCTGAGTTAGTTCTCACTGATCCAGCCAAAGGTATGAAAGGAGCTGTTGCAAAAGCAGAAGAGATTTTGGCAAAAACGCCTAACGGTTACATGCTCCAACAGTTTGAGAATCCTTCCAACCCAAAAGTAATGTATTTTTTTTGTTTTTTAACGGTCTTCGTGGATCGAAATCAGCTGCTTTTCACATATTATATTGTGTGATTTTTCACTGTTTTGTTGTAGATTCACTATGAGACTACTGGACCTGAGATATGGAAAGGTTCTGGTGGAAAAATTGATGGTTTTGTTTCTGGTATTGGTACTGGTGGTACCATAACAGGTGTTGGAAAGTATCTCAAAGAACAGAACCCAAACATAAAGGTGATCTTGATTTTACATATTCAATCAGATTTAGAATCTTCTTAGTAAACTCAAAACTTGTCTGAAGGTTTCCACTTATTTCCTTATCTTTCAGTTGTATGGTGTCGAGCCCGTTGAAAGCCCTATACTATCCGGTGGAAAGCCAGGTGTGTTTCATTCTTTCTTATTCTATAATTATCGAAGTTTTCGCTAAGCCTTGATTGAGTTTTATCGCCTTGAACAATCTCAATTCTCAAAAGGGAACGCTTTGGAACTCTATCTTCTTACCTTGAGTGTTCATTTTGTGAGGTCCTTCTCAACGTTCAGTGTTCTCGTCAACGGATGTTAAAGATTTAATTGGTTAGAGCCTAAGAGTAATAGGTGTTTGTTTGATAAAAATGCTCAGGTCCCCACAAGATTCAAGGTATAGGTGCTGGTTTTATTCCAGGCATTTTGGATGTTGATCTTATAGATGAAGTTGTTCAGGTAAGATTTCATACCAAAATCGTCTTGCTGACTCCGAAACACATTGTGATGGAAGAGAGCACACATTTCTTAGTTGCCTCTTAGCGCTTTGTAATGCTAATGCAGGTTTCAAGTGAAGAATCCATTGACATGGCTAGGCTTCTTGCTAGAGAAGAGGGTCTTTTAGTAAGTGCTTTGCATTTCACAAGGATTGATATACATTTTCTCTGTGAAGCTTATAATGGACAAAAACAGTTTCTTGATCGCGGTTAACACATGTGTCTATTTCTAACAACTAAAAGCAATACACTGTAGGTGGGAATTTCATCTGGAGCAGCAGCTGCCGCGGCAATCAAACTCGCAAAGAGGCCAGAAAACGCCGGGAAGCTTATAGTGGTAAGTGGTTTTGGTTATGTATTTTCCTCCAAAGCTAAGAAATTTGCCTCTCTAGTCTTGTCTAAAACCCGAACAGAACAAACAAAACTTGCTTAAACTGAATGGTTTTCCAGGCGGTGTTCCCGAGTTTCGGGGAAAGATATCTATCGACTGTACTGTTTGATGCAGCAAGGAAAGAGGCAGAGACGATGACCTTTGAACCCTGATCTCTTTGCCTTTTCTTCTTGGGGATACAAATACATTATCTTTTCTTCAACAAATCTTCTTCTTATGGACTTGGAGACGCAAATAAATGATTTTTCTTCAGATTCTGTCTGTATCTTGACATTTGTGTGAACACTTTGTTTCCAGAAAGCTTAGCTAAATACTGGACATTCTCATGATAAATGAATCAGATTCAACTACCATGGAGACCTATCTTATAACCAAACCACTGCTTCTCCATTCGACCTAGTAGCAACACAAGGAGGTTCATTTCGTTCGAAACAGAGGATACTTAAAACGAACCCACCCATTCAAGAAGCACTAACCATGAACAGGTTGCTATATCTCTTGTAGATTAGACCAGATATTCAAGAAAGCATGTCCAAAAAGCTTTTGTCCAATCTACCATCTAATAACATATCGATAAAGTTGAGTGCATCGTCGAGTTTCCCAGTCTTTGCAAAGACTATCAATGACAATACTATATTGAACTACAATGGCCTTTGATATTTCTTTATGAGCAAATCCAATTTCAAGGCAGTGTTCCCTGACTTGTTACATAATCTGTTTAAAATCGGTCCATAGGAAGATGTATCAGGTAGACCCAAAACCGGTTTATCTAAAAACCGGATCAATTTCGGGGGTAAAACTCAAAACCGGTTCAATTTTGGGCTTAAACCCAACCCTCCTCGCTTTTGTTCTTTCTTCCTCGCTCTCTGCGCCGCGTTCTATCTCATACTCCATCTTCTTCGTCTCGAATCTCGATCAAAGTTTCTTCGATCTTCTTCGTTTCTAAAAGTAAG